TTTTAATGTTAGGATCATCCATAGGAGTATTAGGATAATTCATATGAGTCCCCTCTACTAAGCCCCTAAACCCTGAACCTCAAAACCTGAACCCCAAACCTTAGAGCCTAAGCCCTAAAACCCCCTATAGATCCCTTCAAGGAGACTTTTAACAGACTCCAAGTGTCAAACTCAAAGCTCTGACTCCGGGTCGACGACACCGCTGGGGGATAGAGCTAGGCAGTAGGAAATGCCTGAGCCTTTTCAGACAGCCATTATGGGGCTTCTTCGACAGCCATTGGTTTTGAAACGCCCAGAGGTAGAATCCCCTCATTGCCCCTGGTATTGGTACTATACCACACCCCAAAATTCTTAATCTGCTTATTCAGGCTTCTTTCTAGAGGCTTGAGGTTTCAGGGTTCCTATGTCCACAATCCCTGCGTCTACCGTCAACCCTAAACCCTAAGCCTTTGCAGTACCGACCAACAAACAGGCAGATGGAAAAAGGCGTTTAAAAAACAAACTGCAAAGGCAGAGACGGCTCATTCCGGGCTCTTTCCTCATAGGGATCCTTAGGGGTGTAGGGGGAGGGGGGGTAGGGGGCCTTAAGGCCCATAATAAGGACTAATAAGGACTAATAAGGCCTATTTAAGGAAATATAGTCCCCTACACCCCACCCCTAAGGATCCAGATGATTTCCTAAACCGTCAACCCTAGACTCCGGACCGTCAACCCAAAGCCTGGTGAAAAGAACCGAAGCCCCTAAGCCCCTAAACCCTAAACCCGAAGCCCCTAAACCCTAAACCCCTGAACCGTCCCCAAACCATCAACCCCCCAGCAAAAAAGCCTAAACCCAAAATTTCTGAGTTTCAGCTTCCTCAGGCGGCCATGGGTGAGCACTTCGTCTACGACGCCCTCCTCGGAAGCAGCGGCTTTTTAGGAGCCTTCTCGGCTTTTCCGGTCTTGGAACGGGTTAGGGTTTACAGGGTTTGGGGTTTATCGGGTTTAGGGTTTATAGGGTTTAGGGTTTAGGGTTTGGGTTTAGGGCTTGGGGTTTAGGGTTTTTAGGGTTTAGGGTTTATCGGGTTTAGGGTTTGGAGTATTATAGGGTTTAGGGTTTGGGGTTTAGGTTTTTTTGGGTTGGGGTTTAGGGTTTATGGTTTTTGGGGTTTGGGGTTTGCGTTTTGGGTTTAGGGTTAAACGTAGCTCCAAACCCTCTGAGCCCTAAAGGGTAAAATTGGAACCCCACTGCACAGATGAAGATTGATGTTACGTTGATGCTGATGCGGAAGATTATGAGGATATGCTGTTGTATGAGGAAGCAATCCTGAATCCGATGCCCTAAATCCTAAACCCGAAGCCCTACACCCTGCTTAAGAACCCTAAATCCTAAACTCTAAACCTACAAACTTTTTTTTTGGACCCTCAACCCCTACAAACTTGAGGCTTCTTGAGTTCTTCAACCCCGAACCAGGAAACGGCACAGTCTGGGGCTTTTTCTGAGGATTCATTTTGCGGAAGTCGAAATAAGGTCACCGAAGACCGGGTTCAGTTGGGTCTCGACACGCTAAGCCTAAACCCCTAGACCCCTAAATCCTTAAACTCTAAACACCTTAAACCCTAGACCCCCAAACCCAAACCCCTAAACTCCTAAACCCAAAACCCCTAAACCCCTAAACCCTCATTAAACCCTAAACCCCTAAACTCCAAAACCCTAAACCCCTAAACCTCTAAACCCTAATTAAACCCTCAACCCCTAAACTCCTAAACCCTAATTAAACCCTAAACCCCTAAAAACCCCTAAACCCCTAATTAAACCCTAAACCCCTAAACCCTAAACCCCAAACCCCAAAGCCTGAACCTTGCCCGAAGGAGACCTCGGGGTGTTCCTGAACTTGGCCACAGCCCCGGGAGCAGACGTAGCTTCGGGGCTTTGAGTTGATGCTTTATAAGGTTTAGGGTTTAGAGTTTAGGGTTTAGGGTTATAGGATGTTTAGAGTTTAGTGTGTTTTAGGCTTTAGGGTTTATAGGATTCAAGGGCTTAGGGTGAAGGGATCAAGGGTTTGGGGTTTAGGGTTCAGGGCTTGGGCCTTTGGCTTTAGAAAGTCGGCTTCCTGAGTTTTGGGTGTTATGGTGCCTTTTAATATAGGTTCCAACAAGGGGCTTGGTGGTGACGCGAGATCGACGAAGTGCCGAGTCGGTCCGCCCCGCTTTCGCTAGCAGTTGCCCCCCATGCGAGGGGTGCTTGCTCGCAACGTGGGCTCCAAAGCCGAAACGCTATGGTTCTGGGACATTCCTTGTGTGCTCATTTCGTAGCGGTACTTTACTTCAGCGGCAAGCTGCAAGAGGGTCGGGCTGTATTAGTTGAAGCTTCGCTTGTGGTGGTGGCTGTGCTGCTGGTGGTGGCTCTGCCTGCGCTCCATAGAGGCTCTTGGTCTGCTTCGGGTTTATCGTGGTTTTCAGGGTTCAGTCGTTGAAAGTCTTTCAGTCCCTTGTGCTGCATTTTAAGGCAACCAGCATAAGCAACAACTGCGGCTTGGAACCCTCTAAAAAAGGCCAGTTGTACAGGTCATATGGGTAGTTATCTAAATTAGGGCCCCTGCTAGGGTCCTTCGTATAGGGGTGCCGCCTTCTTTGGGTTCCCTCAAAGAGACCCTAGCTTTGAGAACTACCCATATATACCCCAAGCTTGAATCCCGAACCTTTGATTGGCACCGAACGCCCTGGTTTGTAAAGTTCTGAGCTCGAAACCCCGAAGCTCTAAATCTTCACACCCTCGAGCACTAAACCCTGAGCACCCAGACGGCTCACGCACACACAGAGAACAAGAAGCACACACACAAAACCTAAACCCATAACACTCAACGAACAAGTTGAAGACAAATAACATTAAACACCAAGTTTTAAAGCTACGCTCTAAGGCCCTCAACCCTAAACCCATAGACCCTAACCCTACAACCCTAACCGTAGGCATCGCAGAGTCTGACCAACAGTCCGAAGAGTTTGCCAACTTCTATACTGAACACAGCTGGACCCTTGACGGGCTGGGCCTGCGTGGATTGCTTCCTGCCTGCGCCCGAGAAGACGATTCCCTTCGGCATCTTGCTGGCGCATGCTTGCGCAATCTCCACCAAGCTCTCCGAGGAACCTACGAATGCAGGCGTTGGCTGCCAGGATTTACAGTAGAAGCCGGAAAGTTGGATTATCATTATCATAATCCCTTAAAGGTAAATTATAGGGGATCCTGCCATTATTTCATATTTCAACTTTCTGGAGTTCCCTTTAAGGGTTTAGGGTTCAGGGTTGATGTTGACAGTGAACCCAGGATGGACAACTATCCTAGAACGGTGGGCGCGGGACAAATCCATGCCGTGGAGAGGTATTGACTGCAGTGAACATCTCCCAGTCGATAGTTCAAAAAAGCCCTAAAAGCTGAACCTCTAGACCCCCTAATTAACCCCTAAAATCCCTATGGACGTTTTTAAGGAGCTTGTACAGGAACAAGTTAAAGGAACCCTCAAACCCTAGAAAGCAGGTCATGGCCTTCTGCCTCAGCGCAGCATTTCCGGACAAGGCCAGCGCTGAGCTACAAATCCGAAACGAGGGGGCTTCCTTTTGGGGTTCCTGTGACGCTCCTTTTAAGGGTTTGGGGCTTTAGGTGTCTAGGGTTTAGGGCAACCTTCAACTGTAATAGCTCCTAAACTCTGAGCATCTCTAAACCCCAAAAAACCCTAAACCCTGAACCCGAACAAACCATAGCCCCACACACATATTGTTCTAGTAGGGCTTTTCTGTATGGCAGTCCGTGAATGTACATGTATATAGCTGTTCGGGCTATGATACAAACGGTCGCAGAGTGGGAGCCATGTAGACTCAGTCCGAACTAGATCTAGTGAGCGATTGGCTCACAGTTAAGGGCTTCGGGGCTTTATGTTTTGGGGGTGTTGTGCCCAACCCTCCACTATCCGTTGGTTGTTGCAGCTTTTGAGCTGGGCTCACCTGGGGCTTCTTGTTGGCTTTCTGTTGCTTACAGCAGTTAGCACACATTTTATCAACGTGTCGGATGGGTTTGCCGTGGGGTCTGTTCTACACCACGTGGATCCAAGTACCTGCACAACGCATCATGGTCATAAAGCCATGCTTGCAGTAGTACTCCCAGTTGTTGCGTTAGGCGGTCTCCTTCTCAACATTGGAAAGTACGTGCAGGAACAAAGGCAAGCCTGGTGTGCAACCTGGAACATCGCTGGTAAACCCCTTTACCGTCGCATGGATAGTTTCAGCTTCAAACAATAGGGTTTAAGGCCCCAGATACTCTGCTCTGCGGATACCTTAACCGCAAATGTCGACCTTTTTGTGGTGTTTGCCTCCTCACTTTCTTAGATACGCTCTTGGCAGAGGTAAGTTCTTTGGGATTCTTTGGGCGAAACCCGCAGCCCCAGACACGACCCTAAACCAGGGTGTAGAGTTTGAGGTTTGGGCCCCCATGGGGGTTCGTAGGCTTTCGGGCTTTGGGTTTAGGGTTTGGGCTTCAGGGTTCATAGTTCATAGGAGGCCAAAAGGGGTTTTAGCCTATGGGGGTTTAGTAGGGATTAGGGTTCCCATAATAGGGTTCATATTCAGGAATCCCTACCCCAAGAATCTTAAACCCCCCTTTTGGCATCCCATCAATAGTGTTTAGGGTCTGGGCCCCCAGGGCGGTTCGTAGGATCGATCAGAAGCTGCCAGAAGCCCAAAGCAGCCAGGCGGCCGACTTCGCCGGAGGCACCTCGAAAGGATCCATCCTCACGGATGAGGCGGCTTGGGGTTTAGGGTTTAGGGCTGTAAGCAAGTGTTTAGGGTGAATAAGTAAGGTTTGGGCTTTAGGGTGTAGAGGGGCCAAACTGACCGGTAACAGCGTGCAAGAGCCGGTAATAGCGTATAAGAGCCGGTAGGTACTGGACGAAAGCTTGAGTTGACGATGGGTTGAGCTGCTTCTGCTGGCATTGCCGTACCCACTCTGGCGAGGGGCTCACTCAGAGAGAATGTTGAAATCTACTGCAAGGCACCCTTGCCTGCAAGCCCATGATAGAGTCGAAAAGCTGAAAGAGATGCTGGCAAACCTGCCACCGTCCAATCGCGGAGACCATGCCAAAAGAGACGCCCGTCGATGGGTGCAGAACTCTTTCGTCTTCAAAGTGAAGCCGTTCACAAGAGTCGCCAAGGCAGGAACGGCTACCTCATGGGTCCAAGCCTTTCTGCTCTTATGTCCCTGACTTCAGGAGACACTGGATGAGCTGCAGCGTGACGGTGTGAATCCAGTGCGTCTCACGGAGGAGGCGACGTGTGTTGCAAGCGGGGCTGGAAGCTGCGCTCGCAAGGATGTATGGCGACGCCAAACGGTGCATGAAGCACGCCAGTCATAAGACGTTGTGGCCGTCGGATATGCGTCTCGCCGCGCAGATCCGTCATGACGATGCTTTGTTTAAGAATTTAGCGCGCGCTCCGGCGCGCTTTATGCCGTTACTGTTCTTTTCTTTTTTACGCTAGTGTCGGGCGCTCTCCTCAGTGGCTGTAAGTAAGGGTTTAGGGTTTATGGGTTTAGGGTTTAAGACTGTAGTACAGGGCTCGGAAGAATTGCGGTTCAGGGTTTAGCTTTTAGTAGCATCCCCTGAGCCCCCTCATAATTATAGTAATATTATAGTGTACTATTGTAGTCCGCGTCGAAACCCTATTCCAATTGCAAAGGCCCCTTTTCTAGTGGTTTTGGTGGTGTAATCAGGGTAATTGGAGCTGTAACGGTCTTAGAGGTTTAGGGTTTTGGGTGTTGTTTCAGACTGAAATTTATATAGGGCATGGGGTTCAAGGCCGAGAGGTTTTAAGCTTTAGGGTGCAGAGCTGCGGGATGAGAACGGGTTGAGGGCATGGGAGGACGGCTCTGGGGACCAAGGATCGAAACCCTATAGAAGAAGCTTCGGTGCATATGCCAGTTGTGGTTGATAGCTTAAACGTAAGATAGAGCCCGACCCACCTCGTCGGTCATTCCGCAAGGACCTTCGGGACTCCACATCAAAACAAGTTCTTGATTCCCGCGGGGGGGGGGGGGGGGGGGGCCTTTTGCATGATAAAACCGCAAGCGAGTTACAGCCTGAACACCCGCAATCCAGTGGTAGCGTAGGTAACCTTGAACCTTTGGTGGGGGTACTATAACCCAAAATTAAGTATTTGCAATTGCTAAGGTTAACCTTGAGTTCCCGAAAATACTCCTTATGGTCCCTAGCGCCCCCTCCCTCCATGTGCACTTCCTTCTTCACCGCTTTTTAGGATGCCCCAGTTAACATTGTCAACCCCACGTAAGGGAAGAGCCCCAAACCCTAATACCTCTAACCCCTAATTTTCAGCCTGGTGATGGGACAGTTTCAACAACCCCAGCGCCGGAACGCAGAACTCCAGGTCGCGACTGTTATGGTCGTTTACGGGCTTAGCAGGACTTTTAGAGGTTGTTTTTCAAAGTGGGGTTTTATAGATAGTTTTGTAAGAAGTGGCTCTATCTTCCAAAACGGGTCCATGACAGCGAAAGCAGGCCAGGTCAGGATGACAAAGGGACAAGAAGTTGTGAGCCCAAATAACTCTAAGGCCCCAGAGCTAGGGGTGCCTTAGTCAGGTTAAATACTGGGTGCTGCATAGGGAACTCGTTCCCTTTGCTTCTACAGAAACACCTAAACACTAAACCCAAACATGCCAAAGCCCTAAATCCGAAACCCGCAATAAAAGTCATTGTGTTTTTGGTCCAGGGGCCTATGGTATAAGGGCTTCAGAGGCTTCCCTATTCAGCCCCAAAGTTAGGATACCATGAGACTATACGAAGACTAATAATACAAAGTCACCACGGTTTAGGGTTCACGGTTAGGGTTTCATGAAGGTCATGGGAGCTTTAGCTCAAGCCCAAACAGACACTCTGAGCCTATCCAGGTGACACCTCAATGGGCGGTTCTGCCTTCGTGCATCTTCGAAGACATCATCGAGGCCTGCAGTGCGCTACGGTTTAGGGTTTAGGGTTCAGGGTTTAGGGTTTACATGAGGATCCCCTTTCTCAGTAGCCAAGTAGGCAACCTTTTAGGGTTTGTATAACCCTACCATAGGTTAACGTTTAAGTTTTTTGGGTTAGGGGATTCGGCCATTAAGATTTTAAAGTGCCGTTAGATACTGAGTGAGGATCGTCCTTTGGAGTACCGACAAGAGAGTCTTTCTGCGACAGTCGCCCGAAGCCAAACCCTGAGCCCCCCAAACTCCTTTCCCTGTAATCCGAAGGGTTCACGGTTTTAGAGTTTCCCGAAAATCGCAAGGCCCAAATCTAAACCCTAATCTGTATGTTAAACCCGAAACCCGTAAACCCTATAAACCTCAAGCCCTAGGCCTTGAACCCGTAAAACCCCTTCGTAACGCTTTCGTAGTCGTACATAATAAGCCAAAAGTAGGGTCCTATGTCACGACGTGACAATAAGGTTGAATTGTATTGTAAGCATACATATATATGTATGTGTATATATATATATATAGAGGGAGAGAGAGAGAGTTCTACATATATGTATATATACACACACACACGCATCTTTCTATCTATCTATCGACCGATCTTTTTATCTGTCTATCTATCTTTCTATCTCTCTCAGGCTCGCTTTTTGCCCATGAGCCGTCAAGCCATGCATCGTAAGGTTCACTTCTCTAGCCCCAGACATCGTGCCGTAACTGTTGTAGAGCAACAGTGTCACCGTTGAATTATTCCAATCTTAAGCTACACTCTTCTCCACCTCAAGAAACCCGGTCCTATTCATTCGTCTAACCACTCAGGACCCACGAATGCAAACCCCAAAACCTAGCTTATAAAAAGATCACAGACGGCCTATACACCGGTAGCCCTGGAATCCCTAAACCCGCTAGAAGCATTGTCAGGGTTTTAGCCATGGGAGTTTAGGAGGGATTAGGGTTCCCATAGCAGGGTTCATGTTCAGGAATCCCTACCCCAAGAATCTTAAACCCCCCGTTTGGCCTCCCATCACATTGCAACAAAGCCACAGAGCTTCAAGCAACCTTGGAATCTCAGATCTTGGAGATCGTGATCCAGTCCAACCCGCAGCAAAAGCCCTCCTCGGAGGTCTCGCTTTCTTGAATTTTGGGTTTAGGGTTTAGGGGTTTAGGGTTTAGGGTTCAGGCTTTGGGGTTTAGCGGTTTAGGGCTTAAGAGGGGTTCAGGGATCGAGGGGGTTCTGGTTGAGGGTTTAAGGCAGTCTTCTGCTACAGCATTCGGCTTCCGCTGTAAAGATGTTGTAACGGTTTGATAGGGGCTGTAGGGAGTGTCAGGACATGAGAAAGTGTTTGTTTAGAATTGGGCTAGGCATAATTGACGTACCGTAACATTGTAAGATTCAGCCCGAATCTGAAGCGACCCTCCACAGGGGACTAACGCCCTCAACAGAGTTCGGATGGACACATCGTTCACCTTCCATCTGAGACAGGTGGGGCCGGGAGCGGTTCTCAGAGGGCTAATCCAAGCCGGACAAAAGTGGCATCAGATGACCGACAAAGGCCGACAAAGGAGACCAGCTGGGGCCACTAAGGCTAGTAGTCTTCGGAATGGAAGCACGGCTGAAATTGCTGCTGGCAAGCGAGGAGGCAGGCCATGCCGTGGAATTTCGACACCTACCGCGCGGTTTGCGAATGCTGCTCTTAGAGCACAAAAAGACCAGTGAGGGCGAAAGGCGCGGAATTGGCCCGTGTAGGGCTTCGGAAAAATGTTGGATGGTCAGATCGCCGCGAATCGTCAGTTGGTGGCAGACTCCAAAGGCCATTTGGCCGCAGCTTCTGGCCAAGAGGCCCCGTTGGCGATGCATGCTCTTGATGTTCAACTTACAAAAAATCCATGTCTGATGTAGGGCATGAGTTTTATAGCGTGTAGGCCAGAAGGTTTAGAGGTTCGAGGGTTCAATAAAGGGGCTCAAGAGGTTTATAGGGTTTCGTGTTTAGGTTAAGGGTTCCATGTTGCTGTACAGGGTTAAGAAGTGTAGCACTTAGGGTTCAGGGTGAAGGGCTTTGGGTGACGCAGGATCGCTGATTGTGAACGAGAGTTCGGGCATCTTAGGGGCCGTTGAAATGCAGATTTTGCTTTCCGTTGATGGTAGCTGTTATGCTTGATTGCTTGAACAGCCATCAGACTTAGACAATCAGATATGTCTTCTATGTAATACAGGGGCCTGAATAATTACATATACCATTTGAAATTTGGGGGGCCTCCTTATTACAGTTCTAGAACAATGAGCCCCAAGACCTTCTTCTTGTTATTCAGCCCCCTATATTATGCTACCCTTTTTCGATCCCTCATAGTAACATAGTAGCCCTTATAGACCCCTTTAAAGGGAACCCTATTCCAATTATTCAGGATCCCTTATCGTAATCCTTATAGGTCCCGCTTGAAAGACCCATTCGGATCTGCCTTCCGGCCAGCTTTTCCTGCATCTGGACCCGACGCTTTTGCTCTACCTTGCCGGCTGCTGAGCTGGTCTCAAGGTTCCCTAAACCCTAAACCTCTAAACCCTCAACCCTCAACCCCTAAACCCCTAAACCCCTAACCCCTAAACCCCTAAACCCCTAAGCCCCTAAACTCTCGCCCTCTCCAGGTTCAGGGTTTGATATTGGGCTTGTATTGGGGTTTATGGGACTTCATCGAGATGCTAGCGGGATTTGTGGCGGGTCTTGTAATGGGGGGGATCTCTCATTGGAGGTTTCTTATATGCAGGATCTGACTGTTGAGTGTTCGAATTTAGTTGTCCCTTGTTGTTGCAAACCCCTCCCCGCCTCTAATTACAAGCAGAGCTGCCGACATCCCAAATTCTTACAGCAGAAACCCCCACACGCTAACCGCCAACCCTAAACAAGTGCACCCTGTAATCCCCGATGCTGCGCCGTGAGCCGCAACACGTCAGGGTTTGGGGCCTGTCCCTACACTGGGTCGGCCCTGTTTCCCGAAGCACCATCTAAAGCCGCTCCTTGATGTTTAGAACAGGGCTTGGGAGGTGTAGTCATAAAGGAACCACAAAGGGGATATTGTTATGGTCATTCCGACGCCTAGGCCCAGATTGAACCTGAAACGTTGGGGTCTCAGGCATCCGCTCGGCCAAGGCCCTGAAAGTATCAGGACCCTCGGTCCAACTGCCCTTCCTGCAGAAGTTTTTGGTAAATCACAAATAGGTGGTTGTCGAAATGATGGTCCCTTTTTGGGTACCCTAAATAATAGGTGCCGTATTATATCAAGGACTCAAAAAGGGACCCTAATTTTGACAACCACCCAAATGGAGGTCCCTGAAGACCCAAACCCATACTCTACACTTCAAGCCCTCGCGAGTAAAGGATGTTGGGGTCTCATGTGGTCAAACCTAGTCAAAGACCATCCGTGCCCTGAACCGCATGACGGCAATAGTTGCCGAAAGAGACACAGACAGGATCATGCTCAGGCTCCCGGTAGCAATCCACTGAGGATTTGGGGTTTCGGGATTCGGTTTCGAAAACCTAAATTTCAGATGGGAGGTTCTACTGTCATGTGCGAACTGATGCTCAGCTTCTTAGGTGACCTTCATTCTGGGCAACGGGCAGCATGTGAAGAACCCCAACCTGCGCGGGAAGGACCGGGAGCGGTCTTAACAGCAAGACGTCTCATGCTTTTTACAGTTTCTCTCAGCCCCAAACCTCGAACGGTAAGCCCCAAAACCTAAAGCGTACCTAAACCCCCCCAAAGTCAAGTAGGTAAAATAATGGCCCAATACCCATAAAAAGGCTATTATTCTACACACTTTTGGAGTCCAGGTAATAACCACCCTCAACCCTGACTGTCCGAACCTTCGGCCGAAAGTTCTGGGACTCGGTTAAGAGAATCTTTCACTTTCCGCCGCAGTGGAGTGTTGTTCTTCTCTCTCTCTCTGGCTTACCTACGCTAGTGAGAGAAGTGTCGCATCGGCATGATCGCATTCACTGTCTCGGGCGAGAAAGAACATGAACGCTCCGGCTGGTCGCAACGGAAACAAGATCACACCTGAACCTGCTGCCGTTGCTGCACTCCGCCTCTTTACAAGCCGGGATTGAAATTGCTTTAAGTGGGGGGCACTTGTAGTTGGTCGCTGAGGGGAGAAGCTTTACACTCTCTGCGGCTTTCCCCCTACGAAAGCCCGCAACATCCTGGGAAGCTGAATCTTGCCTCTGATTTTTGCATTTTACTCAGTGAAAACTCTGCTAAAATAGAGGTCGGGGTACTGAATATCGGTAGTAAGTGTAAACATGTACCCTGCAGGCATTAGTTGATAACCACCGAACCCTCAATCCTAAACCCCAAAAGGCCCTAGAAACTTGAGTACCCCGTGCTTTCTCCGGGCTTGGGGTGTCCCAGCTGCTGCCCCACATGTGCAGCCGAGATTGTCGAGGATTTTGGCCATTCAGGTTTAGGGTTCACCTCATACCTGGACCCCAAGAGTATGTAGAACGCAGAATCTTCACTCAACGTAGCGCTCAAAGGCCTTTGCCACCGAAAGCCGTCGAAATTCCTGGTACCTTTCCTTAGGGCTCCAGCTACTTAGTAGGTAGGTAACTCACCATAAAACATAGTACCCAAAACCCTAATTAAACCCTAAACCCAAAACCCTAAACCCTAAACCCTGATCCCTAAACCCTAAACCCTAAACCCTAAGCCCTAAACCCTAAACCCAATAACCCGTCCAAAAGGTAAATGGAGCCCCAAAGTTTCGCAATGCAACGGAAGCACGCCGCTCTCAGATGCCAGAGATGCGCCCAAGAGCTTGCACAGCACAACGCACTGACATAATGCAGGCCTTAAGATGATCATCTATACTATTCTGGCGGGAACCTTATTGTACTTATAGTATACTATTCCCCAAAACCCTATTCTAATAACTTACTTCGGCCCCTATACTATGTAAGGCTTCTGTTCAACACACAGCCGAGAAACGGATCCAGTTCCGATAGGCACCCTGAAAATCCTCTTCTGGTATACCCCTGAACCCCAAAACCTTCAAACACCTGCAAATGGGAGTTTCCGAAAATTAGGGGTACCTTATTTTGGGGTCCTGATAATAAGGGTCCGTCCTACTATTTAGGGTATTATATGAGGGTCCCCTATTTTCGGAAACTCCCATATAAAGTTTCAACCTTAGGCTCCAAAGCCCCACAGGCCCTCAACCCTACGACCCCCAAAGGCCCACATGCCTGAAGCCCTAAAGACCCTAAACCCTTAAGCCCTCAAGACCCTAAAGACCCGAAAGCCTTAAGAACCCAAAAAGACCCCTAAACCCCCCCCAAACCCGCAACTTCCAAGCAGGGGACCCTAAATAGTAGGATCCTTATTATACTAGGACCTGGAGCAGGCCCTTATTCCCTTTTTTTAGGGTTCAGGTCCCCTTATGAGCCCCTTTAAACCAAAAAGGGCACCCTTTTTGTTCCTAGGCTACTCTTGGGTCTAGTATAAGGACCCCAGAATAAGGTACCCCTATTTTCGGAAACTCCCAAGCAGGCGGCAACGATCCTGAAGGGTCTCATCGGGTCCGGCTCACAGGTTCAGGGCTTTTAAGAGCCTTCGGGCTTTAGGGGCTCATTGAGGGCTCTTAAGAGCTCTTAAGCTAAGGGCTCTTAAGGGCTCTTGAGGGCGCTTAAGGGTTTCGGGGTTTAGGGATCAGGTTTGTTTTTTGGATTTTAGGCTTTGGAGTTGAGGGTTTCAGGGTTTCGTAGTTTCGGGTTCCGGGTTTAGGGTTACAGGGTTTAAGGTTTGGGGATGAGAGTTGTAGTGGTCTGCGAAAGGCTACTCGGATTTATCACGACGCACCACCCATATTCCTGAAGCCATCTTGTCCACCACCCTCAACCCCATAGGGACACTACCCTGCAAGGTTCACGCTTTCAACGGGGAAAAGGAGGGACCCTTAATAAGAACCCCTAGATACATATATATATATATATATATATATACCCTTAAGGGTCCCTCCTATTCCCCTTTGACACTCACGGTCATCCTGATGCTGTCCCAGAGATTTCCTCAGTATAAGTTGTATATGTTACACTGTTACACATTTCGGATAGCCATTAACAGAGCTCCTTGAAGGAACCCTTAAAGGGGGCCCGAAGAGCTAGAGCAGGGTTTGAGGTTTAGGGTTTAAAGTTGAGGGCTTAGGGTACAATATAGGATTAGGGGTTAGGTTTCAGGGTATTGGGTGTGGAGTTGTGGGTTCGGGGTTGGAAGTTTAGGGTTGAGCATTTAGGGTATATAGTGTTGAGGATTTAGGGGTTTAGGCATAGAGCCTTCTAAGGGTGTTAGGAGGATTTCATAGGCTTTGGTTACCTATGTGAACATATGGGTAGTTGTCAAAACTAGGGTCCCTCTTTGGGTACCCGAATTAGTAGGTGCCGTAGCGTATTACTTGTAGGGACTCAAAAAGGGGACCATAATTTTGACAACCACCCATATAGAGCCTGTGCAGTTCGAAGACGTCTATTTTCAGGATCCCGTTGAGATCTCAGGGGCCCCCAATGAGGCAAGCCGTGTTTTTCGGTATTTTAGGGTGTTGAAGGCTTCAAGATTTAACATACCTAGATCCCCCAAAGTAGGTAGAATATTGGCCCAAAACCTATAAGCAGCTATTAAGCTACATACTTTTGGGGTCCAGGTAGGGGTCTATCTGAATGGCAACAACACGAAGTGACACATAATGTTTTGCTATCTAGGGGAATCAGGCAGCAGTAGTGTTTATCAGTCCGACCCCTGTATTGCTCATAGGCCCCCTGTTGGGCAAACCTAAAATCGTTCGCCGCAGGTCTGATCTACATAAAAGCCTCTTAGTCCCAATTCCCTCAAATTTTGGGGGGGTCTAGTCTGGCTTAGGTTTGTCATTACCTTACCCTACCGGGCTCGTCAAAAGAGGAGATTGCGAGAGATTGCAGCGCGGCAACACCATCAATCCGGACAATGCAGTGAACGCCGTGCAACCCAGAGCCAAGACGGTTCCTTCCTCATGTTCTCGACTGGAAACCGCCCACGGGCTCAAATGCATCCGCTCATCGAGCATCTGATCTCGGACATCGGCCAACCCACACATGTGTGCAGAATCCGCACGAACCAATGCAGATCCCCCTGGAATCCTTGGCAACATTGCCGTGAGCTATGAGCCAAACGCGAAATTACTTGGATTGTTGCACATCTTTGTGCCAAAGCGGACAGTCCTTCGAAGAACCATGGCTTGGACTTCCACAGCCACCACGAAACCCTAAACCCTAAACGCACCAACTGACGCGAGAAAAAAGGCTTCAAGAAGACAAAGATTTAGACACAGAAGCCAGGAACCCCAGCTACTGCCACCTCGTCGAGAATTCCCCGGTTCTGATCTCCGGCATCATTCCCGGGTCAGGGCCTCAGACGAGTTTTTTGGGTGCCGGGGGTAAGAGTTTAGAGGTGATAGGGCTTAGGGCCTAGCGGTTTGATAGGGTTTGGGGTTTAGGGTTAACAGGTCGTTTTCTTGTTTGTAGAGGGTCTCGGTTAAGGGTTTAGCGCTTTAGGATTAAAGGCTTGGGGTCTTGGGAGTCTTGGGGTTAGGTCGGGTGATGAATGAGGTGTCAAAGCTTGACAGGGGGGTTTTGGGGTTAGGTTCTCAAGGCCTAGGTCTGGGCATCGGATCATGATGATGATTGGGGTTTAGGGTTTAGGGTCATCATGCAAAACGGCCCAGCTGGCATCTGTCATTGCATTCCCAGGACAGCCGAAACGCCCGAGACCGAAACCCAAGCCTCCTCCGTACCGTCAGTCTCTGGAGGCTTCACATCTTGCGAGCCCTTGCCTTTCAACAACCGTAACATCGACCTATCTATCTACCTATTTAGCTATCTATTTATGTATATAGGTTATGTATGCATGCATGTATGCATGCATTGTAATGTAACGTAATGTATGAATGTACTATGTGTACATGCATGCATGCATCTATGTATGTATATATCATATAACACGGGGCTGAAAGAATGGAAATAGATGAAATTAATAGGTTTCCCTTGTAGTCGTTAAACCACGCTCTGTAGGGGTCCCTGAAGAAAGCAAAAGAGAGCAGGTCACACTTCCTTCACATCAGCCCCTCAAGTCACAATGTCACAAGGCTCTGGGACCAGGATACTTTATTGTGGTTTCTTTTTTTCGTTCTTGCGTTTGTTGTCGGGATCTCGGCCAAAATCGATGGTTGCGTACCTTCTAAGCCGAGCCCCTTGAACTCAGATACTTACCCACAAACCTTCCACCCTCAACCCCAAAGAGACTGAACCTTAGCGCGCTACAACAGAAGCCCCTAAACCCTACACTCCGCAATCGACTTCAACTCCCAGAACCTTCCTATGTATGAAAAAGCTACTAAGGAAATCCGAATGAGGAACCCCAATTTAGATTACCAATGCTGATGCCAGGGCTCCGTATTACACATATGCCATAAAGTACCCCAAACCCTATTCTAGTTGTTGAGGCCCCCATATTCAGGGTTACAGGGTATCCGTTTTCCTGCAAGGTGCATTCGCGTCTTCACGGCCGTGGAGAAGACGAAGCAGTCGCTGGCGGCCAAGACGAAGAGCCCGATAGGGGTCTAATTTCGTGTGTTACAATGTTTTATGGGGTCTAATTTATTACTTGTGTTACAGTACTTCATATTCTACTATATCAGATCGTATTCCATGTTGCGGAATTGTGTTATGCAGTGTATTCTGGTATTAAAAACAGCACAGCATATTACTACATGTTTTAGTCATTTAAGCGCTCTATGAGAAGGTTCCCAGGACTGCAGAGGAAGACTTTGGGTCGCTGAGCTTCGACCAGCTCCTGGAAAAGTACTTGTGCACAGCTTCGGCGTTAACCCCCGACGAGATTTGAGCAAGGATCCTTCGACGTACCTGTCTTGAAAGTCACCGGGACGCACTTTGCGGCGCGCGGTGCTTGAAAGGCCTCGTCCCTGAATCCCAAACCCTAAAACCCCATAGCTTTTGGACCCGGTGGACCATCAATCATGGAACACGAAAATCTGCAGCAGGTTGAACGACTGATAAGTCTTTCGAAATATCAGGACATTTGGGAATAAGTTTGCTGTCACTTTTGTCAGTGCTATGATTCTCCCCTTGCTACAGTGAGCCCTAAACCCGAAACCCTGGTTAGCCACACGAACTGAGGTGCCTCGCCCGGATTGTAAAATCTGTGAGAGTCGAACGGCTGATGCAGAGCATGACGGCATGGGCTGTGGTCTGTATGCACGAGGAGTGCAGCCACGAGAAGGCTTCAGTGAAGCCTCTCTGGGTTCAGCGCTATCCTATAGCTGCTATTCAGTCTCGTGAGACTGTGATCGCCAGGCGCGCAGAGGAAGTGTGCACAGAGTGTAGCCACGAGAAGGTTTTAAATAGTGAAGCCTCGTCTGAGTTCAGCGCTATCCTATAGCTGCTATTCAGTCTCGTGAGACTGTGATCGCCAGGCGCGCAGAGGAGGGGCAGCTAAGGAGCCAGGGATGATGATAGTCACTGATAGTCCCTATTAACACATGGAGCTACAGAGCCAAAAGAACCCCCAAAACCAGTGTTAGGCTGGTATAAAGGTTTTAGCATTTGGTGTTGATATATCCTTTCAATTACGGTCCCCATGTTATAGGTACTACTATGACACACAGGCCTTTTTCTAAGCATTGAGGCCGCTGGCTGGTAGTGTCAAGGCGATGTGCGGGTGGAAGCATTTTACAGAGATTAAGGATGTAATGTCTGGGATGCTGTTCGTCTCTGTCCTGGAATAGCAGTCTCTCACCAGGAGACACTCGAATCCTGAAAGAGTCATGTGGTTTAAGAGTTTCGGTTTTGGTGGGTTTGGGAGTTTATGGTTCTTATTTTTTAGGATCTACAGAAGTAAGCCCTGAACTTTCCACCGATATCCACTTGACAATGCCAATTTCACCCTGAGCCCGAAGCCTCGAACCCCCAATTCCATCCTTGAGACATGCATGGAAGCCTCAGCTTCACCTAGCACTAGTAGTAGTTCAGCCAGAGTATAGCATAGCCCAAATTACTCCGTCCTTCCAGAGCTCTGTAGGATAATGCGCTCGAAAATCAACCCTCAACAGTAGGATCCTAACACGCACCACCTAGTAGTAAGATTAAGAAAGTCCCTTGTACTGAACCGTCACCCCTCCAACCCAGATACTACGACATCCGAATGCAGCTGAAGTACCAGCTGCGGATTCCCATCATGGACCGGGTTTGGAGTGTTGCGTTGGGAGTTGTTTTTCCGGAAGCATAGGCTTGCATATATTATCTAATGTTCGATGGGGGTATTTGAGATTCAACGCAGTCGAAATGGCTCACTCATTTCGATTACATTCAAGGCTTCGGGTCGCGGGTTTCAGCCCCAAGCTGTCGGAAAGCCCTTTCATTCCTTCATAGTCTCACCGTAAGCATGCATTAGATCGATTTCTGAAGATAGCACAACATATCCTGAATTCCTCGATCTAACCATTGAACACCCCATGTGCAGGTAAGCCCAACAACCCCGAAGGGTTATTTGGGATCAGGGCCCGTGCACCTAGCAAGTCGGATGTGCGCATCGTCGTGTGTGTTTTGGGTAGTGTGGTGCTTTCTGATGCGCATAGCTGCATACCCCGTATTGAGCACCCAACCTTGAACCACATATATAAGCAATCTTTTAAAAACTTTTATGAACAATGAAACACGCTACAGCAAAATGCAAACCATGAACGAAGCCAAAACCCGAAATGTCTGTTCAACTAATCTTGCAGCCCAATACCGTTTACACACGTTGCAGAAGGTCTGTAGAATCCCTTTGAACCTTTTTTAAGGATCTGCTTTAGGGGCCTTAATAATTAGAGTAGGGTTTGGGGGCTACATTACCGAACCGGGCAACGCATGTTTGTCTGCCCTTTTTGAAGGAGCTTTTCGAGCGAACTCTTCCTTTGGAGGCCTTCAGGGTCTAGGGTTTCGGGCTTTTTGTTCACTTTCTGTTTGTTTCGAAGCCGTTCCTTGCAGTTTTTGCGGGGAAGCTTATTCAGTTGGTGTTTGAAGGTTTAGGACTTGGTGTTTAAGATCAAAAGTGGTTGTAAGATGTAGGGTTTTGGGTTTGTTCTCGATTGCACTTTTATATGTAGTTTGCTTGCTAGGCAGAATACGCAGATTATGGGATTCGGGAAGGATGGGGGTGGCACAATGCTTGAAGGCTTAGGTGAAACTAAAGCGATTAACGCATCAGAAGTGCAAGACAGGATTAGGGTCTTAAGCGCCTGAGTCGGGGGATGAGTTTGGACAGTTTGAGTTGACTCTAGTTTTGACGGCTTAGGTGTTGGAGACTCGTTCACGGATCCACGGTGAAAACTCAGCTTTAGCGGAGACGGTTCAAGACTGCGAAACGCTAACACCGAAAGCCTGAACCCCAAGCCCTAAACCCTGAGCCTCGAACCCCTGTAACCTTATCGCAAAGCCCGAAGCCCCAAGCCTTAAGCCTTGTGGGTTTACGGCTCCTGAGCCTGAAACTTTAAACCCTAAACCTGCAGCAAATGAAACCCCAAGCGGAGGCCCACAAGAAGGCCTTAAAGAGCTTCGCCGCGGAGTTCCCGGATGAGTTCCTCAAGTTTCTCAACAACTTGTGCCCTACCCTGGGCCCTGTGCTGCAAGAGAGAGAGAGAGAGAGAGAGAGGAGCAGAAGTTCTCATAACTGCGTGTTTAGTCGTTTCTCCATAGAATCACATGTGTTGCTTACCTTGATAGGGGAGGAGAGTGTTCTGAGGTTGTTCCTGTAAGAAAAAGTTTCACAGGGCTTCTTCCGCCTGTAGGTTTATATATATATATGTATATATACTAAACCGCAAAGAAAAACCTATTCTACTCATAAGCTAGATTCTTGCACCCTCGAGTTTGTACCTCTGTTTGCGGCATCGATGCCCACATCCCCGGACCCCACTGCGGCTTCTGGGTACCCTGTGCGCGACCAACTGAGGGGTTGTTCTTGACTGTAAAGTCTAATTCCAAACCCTAAACCCCTAAACTCTAAACCCAAGAAAGCTGAGCCCTAAAGCCTCATCGACGATATCCGTAAGCATTGCAGGTTACTGTGAACAACTTCATGTGAAGGACAATCCTGCAGTTGCGCTGACATCGGATCTTACACCCAAGCGTAATCCCTTTCCGCCATGTCCGCAATCCTCAGCTTTGAACCTCAAGTATCCATAAACCGTAAAACCTGAACCCTGGCCCCAAACCTGTGACCCTAAACCCTAAACTCGAAGCCCTTGGTGCAGAGATTGGCTCAAACATCAGAGAGACGCCCGCTTGCCTAAAGAAGCATTTGTCTCGGCGCCGCCCTGAGAAACATTCCGTTTGGGTAGAACCCAGAGACTCCAATATTCCTTAATTAAGCAATATACCTTAAATTATAGTAGGATCCCTAATATGATTTAAGGAATATTCCTTAATTAAGGGGTATTGGAGTCTCTGGGAATCCGGTACGAATACGTGAGACTACCGCGTTGACAGTGGGCGGCAGCGTTGAAAAACGTAGGGTTCTGATTTCAGGACTTATCCATGACATCTCTCATATACTTCGCTGAGGGTTTAGGGTTTCGCAGAATAATCTAGGGGCTAGCACCATTCTGTTACACTCAAAAGCCTAAACCCAATATACACATATACTATGATGTAGCCCGCAGATTTATCAAAATTAATTACTAAGGCTCATATCGATATTCCCAAACCCTTCAAAGAACCGTTAAATAAGGAGCACTACCCCAATTGTTGCAGCCCCTCGGCTGCTCTTACAGGATTTTGGGGGTCTGTGGCTGGTAGAGTAGAGTTGAAGGGAGTAGTAAGGAAGCATTGTTTTTTTGGGTCGGTTTAACGACCTCTGACCTAAACTCGTGTTGCGTCGTTTCCTTCGAGGCTTCAGAATAGATTTCTATGGTCCTTAAGTCAGCATGTGGATAATTATGGTTCATCCACGTCCAGGGAGGCCAAGCCAAATCAGTCCATTGATGGGCAAAATCTGTAGACAGAGACCTCTGCGAAGGGGCCACTTACATCAAGAAGACCGACACATTCCAACTCAGACGGAACCTAACCTGAAACACTCCAACAAACCCGGCACCAGCTGCAAATGCACCAAGCTTAATCCGAAACCGTATCACACCCTGCAAAACCTTATTAGACCTAAACGCAAGAATCCAAAAACCTATAACCTGAAACCTACACTCCCAACACCCCGAATCTATGAACCCTAAGCCCAAAATCCACTCCAAGCCCAAGGGCACAAATGCCATCGGCAGCAGGGCCAGGTGAGCGGAAGCCCGGCGCCAGATGCCCGGAAATGTTCTTTTGTTTTCAGTAGGTGGGGTTTAGGGTTTAGGGTTTAGGGTTCAGGGTTTAGGGTTTAGGGTTTAGGGTTTGGGGTTTAGCGTTTAGGGTTTAGGGTTTCGGGGTGTGCGTTTGCTGTTAGTATTCGTGTGTCTGTTTGTTCGCAGAGCCTTCCAGAAAATTCGAAAACGTGCTTAATCAGAAGCTCAGGGTAAAATGAGTGTCAAGCTGAAGCCGAAAACTCTAATGCTAAAACACCTACACTGCCTCAAAGCCTTTGGTTGTTGGTGCTGTCTGACTTGTCTCGAAAGGACAACTCTCATGAGAACCCGGGTCAACCGGAGCTTGGCCGGCTTGACGTGCGAGTAGGCCAAGTGCATCAGTGACGCTATCCGGTAAGCCTTGGACCCTGATCCTAAAGATGCTAGTGAGATTGGTGACGGTTGAAGGTCAATGCTTCCGTCAAAGGGAGTCGCGAAGTAGCACCATCACCACGGTGGTTTAGGGCTACCTGGGCCTTAAAGAACCTACCCTGTTTCGGGCGCCTTATTGTGATTTCCTGATGAATGTGAGGTAGGGTTAATTTAGGTTGCAGGCAGAAAGATGCTCACGAAAGGGAGCTTCAGCCGAGGCAGTGGCCTTGTGGCAGTGCTGCGCAGTGGCCTTATCCCTCGGCATGCGGCGGCAGTGCTAGGGTTAATAGTTCAGGGTAGTTTCACATTCTCCGAGCCTTGGGTCTGCATCATGACACCATGTGATTTACTTTAAGCCTCACAGGCTTTAGAGCCAGGGGTTATGTAAGGTTCTTTAGGCATCATTTTCGTTTGTTCCAGTTTCATTTGCATTGCAAAGTCCACGGGATTCGATGCCACACAGGTGGTGAGCATGGGAACTTTTTCCCTGATCTCAGGAAGAGGTACTTAGTCTTGGTGCGGATGCTGCAGTAGTTTGTGGGAGGAGTTTGTTAATATGTCTCCAATCCTCGTAAAGCTCTACGGTGACCTACAGAGCCCCTTCCAAATCTAAGAACTTTGAATCGTGTCATATGAAGCCTTTAGCGCTGTGTCATGGCTAGCTTGAAATGTCTTTGACTCAGGCGTGCGGTCGGGAGTGGCGAGCAGAAAGTTTTGCAGGCACGGTTTGTTTTTCGGTGCAGGGCCCGGCGTTCTTGGGGACCATGGTGTGAACATATTATATTCGAACCATGCAGCCCTAAACCTACATCCCGAGGGTTCTAGGGGCTAGGTTTGATTTTGGCAAAATGGCTGCAGTGTTATCTGGTTTCTTGTTAAAGGGTTTAATTTCTGTTACCATAAAAGGTATCTACGGTGAATAGTAAGTTTGCCGTATTATGGTAACTTAAATGAAGTCCCTTTACAAGAACCCAGTTGTAGATGAGGGCTCAGAGTTCAGGTAGAGCATTGATTCAGAGTTATTTCTGCAGAGACGGCTCAACGTGTCCACGTCAATGTAGGTTGAGGCGTGAGCAGGCCCTGAGAGCCAGCATTGTTGGGAGGGCTTGGGAATGATTGTGATATGGGGGGCCTGAATAATTACCGATTCCTTGCCTAAGGTTCCTCAGCCTTATGGTACATATACTATGAACCCTATTCAGGTTTCAAGACCCCTACAGCAGATCATTTTTGCTTTCAAGCACCGTGGGATATTTCAGCCCATGGGTTTGGTTGCATGCGATAATAACGTGTATGTTATAGGTGCTTGAGTCAGAGGGGCTTCATAAGGATTCGAAAGGGTTTCTGTAGGGTTCTACGGTGATATAGTAGCTACTTATGTGCTAGCTTGACAAGGCTTTCGTTTTTCTATAGGGACCTTAATTATTTCAATGCTTCTTCCGGGTAGACTACTCTTTTCTGTATTCGGATCATGCTACAAGGGTCGGGCTTCCACACACCGAGGCGCTGACAATCATCCACAGGGTGCTGCAGCTGATCCCCACAACAGTCCTCAGTCAGAAATTCCGCTGCATCAGGCCTCAAGCAGCGCAGTACCAGAGCAGCGTTCTACCTTTCATGTTGTTGGTGAGCAACCGTGGGGAACTTTACGGCCTATTCCAGAAGCTTTCGGATCTCAGCGCGATGAGGTTGGTAGGTGCAAGGCTTCGCCCGCACCGACAGCGGCGGCAGCCTCTCGCATTAACGCAGGAACAGGCAGCGGCGGACCTGCGACAAGCGACCAGCAGGAAATCCCAACAGGACATGGACCTTTGAGAGCATGGCCGGCAGGCGCCCCAGCATGCCGTCTTACTGACCCCTCTTCTATAGTACCGTGGTTGGCTTGTCCCACAGATAACCCGAACTGGATACTACCTTCCAAGTGCCCTGAGATGCTAAGCAGACCCTCGCCCCTACAAAAAATCCCAAATCCGAGGCACCAAGAGCCCCAAACAAACCCTAAACCAGAGACCCTAAACCCTAAACCCCAGACCCAAAACCCCAAACCCTAACCCTGAACCCTAAACCCTGTAGACCCTAAACCCTAAACCCCTAAGCGGTTTTAAACCCGAAGCCCTGGTTTCCTGAAGCCTGGACGCAGGCAACCCAACAGCCCCCAAACCATACACCCACCCTGATAGCCTAGGACCTGGTGTAGGCCCAGGGATGAGGGTACAGGACGGTTTAGGGGTTTAGTAAGGGTTTAGGGTTTAGGGTTTAGGGTTTAGGGTCTAGGGTTTGGGGTTTAGGGTTTAGGGTTTAGGGTTTAGTAATTTAGGGTTTAGGGCTAGGACCTAGAGTAGGCCCTTATTCCTTGTTTTAGAGTTCAGGTTCCCTTATAAGCCATTTTAAGCCAAAAAGGGTACCCGTGTTATTGCTATATGGGCTACTCTTGGGTCTAGTAGGCCATAGTGAGCTCCAGATAGTTGGAACATGGGTTTAGGAGGATTAGGGCTAGGATCCCTTATACTCGCCTTAAGGGCATGAGGAGAATGATGTTCAACGTTCTGGCTCCTACTATAATATACCCAAAGCCAGTGTTTAGGGTTTAGGGTTGCCCTGAGTGACGACAAAGGCCCCTAATCTTCCCTCACATTCTATAAAGGCGACTTGAACCCTTAGCCTATGCTTTAAGAGAAAAGCACTGTTCGATTTAATGTAACGTACCGGTATTGACCAGTTTACCCTACACCCTAAACCCCTTTACCCCTAGAGCCTTAAACTCCTAAACCCCTAACCCCCAACCCCCTAAACCCCTATACCCCCAAACCCCCTGAACCCTAAACCCCTAAACGCCTGGACCCCTAAAACCCTAAACCCCTAAACCCCTATACCCCTAAAACCCCCA